CAGACAAAACGCGCGCGAGATAAAAGTACCCGAATCTGTACAGTAGATTTGAGAGTTTCGACTTTTTGGCGGGCGTTTCAACGAGTGACCAATCGTGATAACCCTGCGGGGCGAGGAGTGATCAAGCGTGATAGCGCTGTGATCATGCGTGATAGCGAAGTACTGTACTGTGACTGTCCGTGATAACCCCGTGACCAAACGTGATAATACGGCCATAATTGTGACTGCGCGTATAATTTCCCTTCTATCCGTCCATCCGAAACCACCTCTCATTTCACCATCCCTTGTTCCTCCGTCGCCTCGCCCCCGCTTCATCCCCTCCCGTCCACCCACCCCAAGTTCCCCTCCCCTCCCCAGCTCCCACCCAGCTTCCGCCAGCTGATCTGAGAGGTTCGCGTCACGTGTCACTGCACCCACAGCCGCACACAGTGACACAGCATCTCACCTACCACACGGATGAACTTGTGTGCAGTAAAACTGAACTGGAGACAAGGGTGGTGTGAGTGATGTTGACGACAGCATGGACGGACAAGTGGATTCATGTCCAGGCAAGTCAGCGAAATCCTGAGGCGACTTCACACTTACAGAAACGACAAAGACGCTAAGGCGGTGCACAATAACTGATGGGAAATTATACGCGCAGTCACAATTATGGCCGTATTATCACGTTTGGTCACGGGGTCATCACGGACAGTCACAGTACAGTACTTCGCTATCACGCATGATCACAGCACTATCACGCTTGATCACTCCTCGCCTCGCAGGGTTATCACGTTTGGTCACTCGTTGAAACGCCCGCCAAAAAGTCGAAACTCTCAAATCTACTGTACAGATTCGGGTACTTTTATCTCGCGCGCGTTTTGTCTGTAGTGAAAAACGTGATGTGACTGTCGAAATATACTCGGTCCTTGTTAGGGACCGATGCAGTTTAATGCAGAGTCCGCATTTTGCAGTGAATATACGCGATCAATAGCAGTTTCGATTATATAATCACTCTTCTCTTTGTAATTGATACCTTGACATTATGTTTTGCACATGCAGTAATAAATAACCCAATTACACAATGTCATTTTCATATCAACCACCAGTCAATCTTGGACTTGAGTAGGCATACGATATGGTGAATTAAACAAGCTACAGGGAGGGAGGTATCAGAGGTAATTCTCCCTCTAGCGAGCGCTTGCCTGCAAGCTAACGTAAAGTGCAAGAGTTTACAGAGCCATCCGTGCTAGTGCTCACCCCAGCCTTGGCAAGCTTACGGAGGGAGATGAGGTTGGCCTTGAGATCAAGAATGAGGAGAACGTCGTGCAGCACCACCGGCTTGCCATCCGCTCCCTTAAATGCAGCTTGTCCCACACCAGTCACCTTCAGCGTGTGTCCAGAGGCGGAGCACACCTCGTTGATCGATGCAGCTCGTACGTCGTCAAGCAGCTCCTTGCGCGGCGTCATCGTCCAAGCAGCGCCCGTGTCCAACATCCAATAGTCCAGGGGATGCAGCTCTGCTCCAACCTTGGCAGAGGCGTCTCCTTGCTCCCCCTGCTCTCCAGTATGGAAGAACTCGCCCGCTGTGCGCTCCTTCTTCTCTGCACCGCCGTTGCTCTTCGGGTTGTTGTCGGACGAATTGGCGACCATGTTCACGCCGTTTTTCTGGTTCCTCCGCGCGCCGCCATCCTGGTGACGATTCTGGGGGGTCCATCCATCGGGTTTCTTATAGCACAAAAACCAGGGGTGCCCCTCCTTCTCACAATACCAGCAACTCCCTTCCATTTTGCCACCAGCACCCGACTTGCCCCCACGTCCAGATTTCGCACCCCGACCCCAACCGGTACCTCCTTGTTGGTCGTTGGAGTCGTCTTCCTTCTTTGCACCGCGTCCAGCACCACCGTAGCCACGTCCTCTGCCACGTCGGCTCACTTGCATCCTGTAGCCGCTGCTGCCGTCGTCTCCACCCCTCAGTTGGCGGCGACGGAAGTCCTCCTCCAGAATCTTTGTCCGCACCCACTCGACCACAAGCTCTGGTTCTGCGGCAGGCTCAAGCCGCTCGTAAATTGAAGCCACGATTATGGCAGCAACAAGAGCATTTTCAAGCACTTGGTCTGCCCCAGGTAGGTGATTCCCGCAGTCGCCAACTTCGCGTAGAGGTCGCGCATTTTGTCCAAAACAGATTGCACCGGCTCTCCCTCGCTCAAGCGCAACGCGGACAGCTCCCTCTCCAGCATCAACGTTGCGACAACGGAGGTCGGGGCGGACAGCTCCCTCTCCAGCATCAACGTTGCGACAACGGAGGTCGGGGCGTGCAGCTCCTTCAACACGGTCCACGCCATTGGACCGCACTCAACCTCCGGCAGCAGGTGCATGACGTGGTGACGCTGGTTCAGCTCTAAACTCTGTGACATTAAGTAGTAGTCAGCCGAGGCACGCTCGTCCCAATCTTCCTGCAGTGCGGGGTCACTCGGTCTAGGCTCCTCCCCAATCATTAGTTTTAGCAAACCAATCTGAC